CTCTCTCTCTCTCTCTCTCTCTCTCTCTCTCTCTCTCTCTCTCTCTCTCTCTCTCTCTCTCCGATGCGGACAGTCTGTCGTCACGCACCAGCCCACGAAGTTGTCACCCCGCTTAGTCCTCCTGCACCCGTCAGGTTCGCCTGCGCGCAACAGTCCGTCATAGCCCCGCGCGTCAACCCCGTGCATTCGGCACCAGCTCGTCGGGTTGCTCGACTCCCACTTCAACTCACCTCTTACTTCACTCGTGAGCCGACCCTCACTGATCACGTTACCCCGAGCTTCCAGGAACTGGTTAAGAGAGCTATCTGATCGCGCAGTCGAAATTTATAGTGTGCATGCATGCACGAAGAACACGGAATTGCAAGGACTTAGAAAGGAGATTAGGAGAGGGAGTGCCTACGTTTTGCATGGCCAGACCGCGGCGTGGGGGACGTAGCCACTCTCCACGCATCGATCCGATCATGCAGCCCACGGGCTAGACATCCTCATCAAAAAGGAAAGGAGAGGGTGGGAAAGACGAAGCTCAAGAAGGGAGATACAGTTACAATGGCGCCTGCCCAAAAATTACACTTACACACGAGATTAAGGGCGCCGACTAATCAGAGCTCCGCTGCAGCCGCAAAAAGAAGCGCGCAAGAAAGACAACGCGTGGCAAAAGAAATCCCGAATTCCTTAATTCCCAACTCCTAAACTTATTGCAAAAATAACTTTAATAAAATGGCAAATTCCGAAAAGAAAGTCCGAAATTCCGAGAGCCGTCAAGGCCCGACAAGATCCGAAAAGGAAATTAAAAAGAAAATAAAAAAAGAACGAGGCAAAATTCCCGCGCGACCTCCGCGCCTAGGACCCGACAACAGAACAAGAAAGAAGCGACGTCAAACATTATTAATCGCGCCTTTGTCGGCGCGACAGCTACTCAATTGGTCATCTTGGGACTTGCCCGGCCCTGAACCCAGCCATCCGAAAAGAAGCGACGAAAAAGAAAAGACGAAGAAGCGAGGACACTGATGCAATTTCCCTTCGATCTCGATCTCTTGTAATTAGCCCATCCTTCCTATCTGAGGACCCCTCATTGTTCGCGCAGAAAATCGCGCGGAACAGGAATTGGTTCGTCACATATGTGACGCCCAGGGGGTTCCAATCTTAAACAAGCTCCTGCTTGCTTGAATCATGATACGTGTCAATCTCTCTAATCGGTTGACACGTGGAGCCCTCTTTGTTGCCACTTGTGGACGTCATCCAGGGTGGCACATGTGGCTCTATCCTACAATTTCCTCAGGATGGGCTGTCTTCAGTCCAAGCAGGGGATCGTGCGTGCCATCGTCGTGGCACGTTCCAATCAACCGTGCATCAATGACCTGACGGAAGGGGAAAAGGAAGATGATACATGGGGGCATGGCGAGGGGGTGGGTTAGTCGGGAGCGGGGGTAGAAAGCGTTATAATCCCACGACTGTCACCGGAAGCTCCCGATATCGGATGATCCGATGAAAGCGAGGGAATCGATTACCACTATGAGGAAAGGATGCGAGATAGTCGGGATAGAGGGTGGTGAAGGTTCGGAAGAGTGCCGTGCGAAAATGATCATGGTTGTCGCATGCGGGGATAGTCCTTGTGATCATGCAGTAAACCTCGATGATGTTGTCGCCTCGCCACGCGACACTGAAGAGATGGGCGTGGAGACAGAAGACAGGGGTGGCACACCGGGTAGAGGGGTGGGGATGAACCGTGACAGCAAGACGTATGGCGTAGAAAAAGCAGAAGGTGTCGATTGGGAAGGGATTGCAGGGGAAGGTGATGTGGGTGGTCATCTAGCGGAGGGTGAGGTGGTCAAGGGAACGACGGGATAAGGACCGGGGACGAAGCCCGATGCCCCGCATCGGTACGAGCTCGAACTGGTGGACGGGCGGAGGTGGAGGGGGAGGGGGATCGGCTTCGTCGCCGTCCGGCCGGTGCGCTCGGAGTCCCGGCAGCAAGGTTCCCATCGTCGTTCTTGGGCAGCTCGGGATCCTTGGCCGGGTTGTACGGGATCGGCAAATCCACTTCACTTGCGAACTCCAGCGACTGCTTTCCGGTTGCGATCTCCTCTCTCCTTCGTGCCGCCTCGGGATCCTCCTCCTGAGGCTCTGCGCGATCCGCCTCTTCACCCAAAGTCTCCCACTTTGATTCCTCCTCTTCCTCCAACCGATCCTCTTCTTCTTCTTCTTCTTCTTCTTCACCTGACTCGTCCTCGCTGTATTCAGTGTAACTCCCTGCTTCTTCGGAGGTCTCCCCTTCTTCTTCCTCGTCGCCTTCCTCTACGCCCTCTTCTTTTTCCTCCTCTAGCGTTAGCCTTCGTCTTCGGAGGCCGTTCGAGGTTGAAAGAAGGCGAGGTCGACTATCCTCCGTGTGTCCAGGTACTCTCGTTGCGATGGCGGATTGCTGTTACTTCCCTGCTCCTCGAGGCAGGCCGACCACTGTAGGTAGGGCGTCAGAGTTCGTGAAAGGATGTGCGGGACCAGGCTCTCGTCGCACTGCGAAACGATATCGAGAGGGAAATCGTCGATCAGCTGCGCGAGGGGAATCGTGAGCTTCTGTACGATCAGTTGTCGATGGTCGTGCCGCACCGATCCGGATAGATCCGAAAAGGTCTCCTTCCACCTCCGTCCTCCAAGCTTGGATGATCAACAACTCCACGTATTCGGTTCAGGCGCGGTGCTCTATGTCTCTCGTCCACGTCAGTTGCACCTCGACCAGACACACTGAAAGATCGTCGAAGTGTTCGCACCAGTTCCCACTGCCTTCGATCGAGGAGGGGAACAACGAGTGGTTCTAGACGAAAGGAGAGGCGGGGGCAAAGGTTAGACTGCCAGAAGGTAGGGAAGAGAGATGGGAGGGCGAATGTAGAGAGCTGAGAGTGGTTCATTGAGGACGCTGGAAGGGAACGAGCTCCGGAAGCACCACCGTCGGTTCGTTCCGAGACGTTCGGAGCCCTCCGACGTCGATGTCGTCCGTAGGGACTAGATTGTCGTCGTGGCGCGTAAGCCACTGATTCCACTCTGTTGCCAACTGCTGGCCCCACTCCCTTAGCGACGTCCGGATGGTCGTGTGTCGCAGAGGGCTGATTGTGCTAATATCACCACTGAAGATGACGGCGGTAGACACGTGGCTAACTCCCGGTGCTGACAGTCGTCGAACCGTCGTCGCCTCTGCCAACACGATCGCTTGACGATGACCCGTGAACCGGAACTCCACCACCACGTACACTCCCGTGCTACAAAATAACTGCGCGAGCCATATAAGATCTGTTGGGGGAAAAAAATTGGCCACTTCCCGCAACAGTAAAAAAAAAAAAAAAGTTTTTTCACGCTAATTTTATACACGCTCTTGAGTTTGTTTTTGCTTTCCTGCGACTCTCCTAACACAGTTTTGGGTGTGGCTAAGCCCTCACACTGACACAAAAAATCCCTGTTCCATTTTTTTTTTTTTTTTTTTTTAAGAAAAGAAAGCTCCATCTATTGGTGGGGAGCAATCCCAGTTCCATCTTCACACTCCTCCACCGCTTAAACCACATTTTTAGACCGTTAACACGATGGCTGAATCGGTGCACCACCCAGGTCCATATGCATTTGCATCAGAGCCTCCCCAGAGGGGGACTAAGACCGCCTGGGGTGCTGGCGGCTTAAAGTTCCAAGTCCTTATCATTCATATCCAACTGAGACTATGTACAAAATTGTCAAAGTTCTCAGAAGTGACTGCGGCAAGAAAAGCACTTTTGGCTGAAGACAACATGAGTTGTTGGCGTTTCACCCGACCACGCCATCCAAAAATCACCAGTAGTGGAATAATACCACAGCATGAGCATTGAAGTCACTTCTATCATCGATTGGAGTCCATCGAGGTTGACGGCCTCACTCTTGTCTGATAGTATTGATAAGGCCACCCACCCATTCATCCTCTCTCTCTCTCTCTCTCTCTCTCTCTCTCTCTCTCTCTCTCTCTTGATATACATTCAACTCTGGAGGCCAGTAACCCTTGTATGCTTAGTCCGAAGTAGTCCACTCAGTGAATCCCCGGGGGTCTTCCCCTGGGCAATCAATGCTAGAACTCCCAATCAGTGTTATTGTGGACATGGACGGACGCCTATAGGAATCGGATACATGGCACTATTTCCCTTTCTTTACCATTCAGCTATGCGTAACAATCTGAAACACCAATGGGGACCCTACTGGCCACCGCCTACCCAGTTGCATGGGTGGTGGATGGACTTCTTGTTTTCCCCCCTCAATTACTTTCATGGCCGTCACCGGCAGGGCCCACATGAAAAGGGAACAACACCCAGCCGAAGCACTTCCAACACATTAAACACTTACTCGTGGTTGAACCCACAGAGTCCAAAACACCTTCCTTAAGTCGCATCTGGACATGAGGGGGGGTTGGGGGGTAGGTGTGGTGGCAATCTGGAGTAGTTCAGGAGCAGGTACGAAACCAAAAGTTGTGGCCTCCTGCACAAGCGGTGTCAAGCACTAACGCACGGAGCGCTCCCGCCCGACAAGGCTTGGCGGGCATCTGCTCTAGGTCCTCGGACTTGCCGAGGTCGTCTTCATAACGGTGGAGAGGGCGCATGAGGGGGGTTGGGGGGAAGGTGTGGTGGCAGTCTGGAGTAGTTCAGGAGCAGGTACGAAACCAAAAATTGTGGTCTTCTGCACAAGCGGTGTCAAGCGCTAACGCACGGAGCGCTCCCGCCCGACAAGGCTCGACGGGCATCTGCTCTAGGTCCTCGGACTTGCCGAGGTCGTCTTTATAACGGTGGAGAGGGCGCGCGGCGGGGGCTATGGCAGCGAAGCTTTTGTGAGCATCGTGTCTACTGTTACTGGAGTGTCTTTGTGCGACAATAGGAACAGCGACAAGTAACGGGAGGGAGCCAAAACAGCAGGTAAGTTCCACATGGCTTCGGATGCAAACCTCCAACAAGCTGCTGATGCATGGCTATCCGGCATGGAAGACAGCGGGCAACATCTCCAGCATATGGTATCTCTCCTCTCTATCTCCACCCCGCCTCCACCAGCGGTCGTTGGGAGAACGATCTCAGGAGCGAAGTGGGTGGAAACCGTACTACAGACGATGTTGGAGGTTATATGGGTGCTGGAGGAGGGGCCGGCACCGGAGCTGAACGAGTTTGTTGACTGGCGTCAGGTGGACGCCTTGTCCAGCGATTGGTACACGCTCCTTGACGAGGGGCTCGAGCGAGGGGCTAACTGGGCCAAGCGTTCAGGAGGGGAGCTGCCAATCACCATGTTGGCCACGGTCGCACCATCATCACCGGCTCCAATAATCTCACCGACACCTGCAACCGCATTTTCATCACCTGCATCAACGATCATTGCCCTTGTGCCTGCCACGATAAGTACACATGACTTGGGGCATTCAACAACAGAGATTGCGTACACGACGATGACATCAACGTCATCAATCATACCAATAGTGCCTGCGACTAAAAGGCTGACATCTGCACAGGCCACCACCACCAACAACAACTACAACAATAACAACAACAACACTGACGGTGTGGCAAGTGTAAGTGGGCATTCTCTTCCCCCCCCCCCACCCTCCTCCCTCCCCTCTTGTTTTCCTTCTTCCGGTTTTCTGGTGTTGATTGGGGGGAAGGGCGGGCGGGGCGCGTGGGTCGTTCAATTGGATTGTTCTGTAAATTGGAAGGGTGTGGGGGGGACCAAGGAGTGGAATGGTGGCGCGAAGGGGTAGGATAGCGAATGCCAGATTGCCAGGTCAGATAGGGTTGTACGTGATGGGTCGGCTTTATCGCATCTGACTTTGGTCGTGTGGCACCAGGGCTGGTAGGGTTTGCCCATGTGTTTCTTCAGTGATTTGCCATGTGGAACTGGCGATTTTAGCTTTTGTTACGTCTCTATAAACATAGGTTTTGGCCGCGTGGTAAGGCAGGAGGTGCTGTGAGGATCGACACTGGGGCTGCTTATGCAGTGATTTGTGCTCTGCCACGCAGGTATTGGGATTTGACTTTTTTTCAACTTTTTCCACTTGAGCCGCGCCTTCGATTAATCAGGTTTGCTGGTGGGCACATATCTTTTCGATATAAACAAAGGTTTCTACCACGTGGCAGCTTTTGTTACGTTTCTATAAACATAGGTATTGGCCACGTGGCAGGGCAGGAGGTGCTGTGAGGATTGGCACCGGGGCTGCTTGTGCATTGACTAGTGCTCTGCACGCGAGTTTCAATTTTTTCCACTTGAGCGCGCCTTCGATTAATCAGGTTTGCTGGTGGGCTCATACCTTTTTGATATAAACATAGGTTTCCACCATGTGGCAGGGCAGGAGGTGCAGTGTTGTTAGCCACCAGGGCTCTTTATGCGATTGGCCTGTATCCTGCCACGTGGGTATTTTGCTTTGAATTGCTTTGCAACAGTGCCTTCCCCACCTGAGTGGTTGTGATGCTAATTAGGATTGTGTGGGCCATGCGGCATCATTCAGATAGGAAACTCCGTGTGGGAGGCGGGTCTGTTGGATGCCCAAGCAGCGTTCGTCAGTCGCCAGCCGCTTTTTTGCTCAGCCTCGCTATTGCCTTCGTCGTCGCTCTCCGTAATACGTAGTAACTGTTGCGCTCAAGATGCAGAACGAGGAGGGAGAGAATGTCAACCTCTACATCCCCCGCAAGTGCTCCTCAACGAATTGGTTAATTACGTCCAAGGACCATGCTTCCGTCCAGATCAATGTTGGGCATCTTGACCATAATGACGTCTACAGGGGCAACTTCACCACGTTCGCTCTGTGCGGCTATGTCCGAGCGCACGGCAGTGTTGACGGTGCACTCGATCAGTTATGGACAAAGAAGAAGGCGGAACTTGGTCAATGAAGATATATATTAAGTTTTTCAACTTTTTCTTGTTTTCCTTATTTTCTTTCTGTTTTTTGCTTTGGCGCTCTGATATCTATGGATTCTGCAGACTGTTGAGGGTTCAACCTCCTGATGAGTCGGTGAAACTTCGACGAAATAGTTTGTCATAACCCCTCGTTTATTGTCCTCTTCTCTCTCTGCCTACGGTTTACCGGGCAGTTCTGTTTGTGACGATATATGCTACGACTTCGCTAGCTTCCTGCTACGGTTTTTTCTGGTCAGGTCGAGCGGCAGTGGTTGGGGCCGTTACTAGGCGGTCATGCTGTGCCTCTAGTGCCAGAGGCGTGTCTGCAGTGTATTTTTTGGCTGTGACAGACCTTTCTTTGTTTCGTGGATGTTTTGTTGGCTTGTGATGGGGTGTGAACCGACAGTCTGTAGAGTTTTCCATCTGGTGTAGGTGAGTGATAGTCTACTTTGATTTTGGTTAAGGTAGATTATCATTTACAGTGTAATGAGTGAGGGGATTCTGCAGACTGTTGAGTGTTCAGCCTCCTGATGAGTCGGTGAAACTCCAACGAAACAGTTTGTCACAACCCCTCGTTTGTTGTCCTCTTCTCTCTCTGCCTACGGTTTACCGGGCAGTTCTGTTTGTGAGGATATATGCTATGACTTCGCTAGCTTCCTACTACGGTTTTTTCCGGTCAGGTCGAGCGCAGTGGTCAGGGCCGTTACGAGGCGGCCATGCTGTGCCTCTAGTGCCAGCGGCATGTCTGGAGTGTATTTTTTGGCTGTGACAGACCTTTCTTTGTTTCGTGGATGTTTTGCTAGCTTGTGATGGGGTGTGAACCAACAGTCTGTAGAGTTTTCCATCTGGTGTGGGTGAGTGATATTTGTTTGAGTTTGAGATTGGATATCACACAAATCACAGAGTACGAAGTACACAAGATTGTAGATATCTCAAGTACACAGTACAATAGTACAAAAGTACAGAGTACCATAGTACGTAAAGATTGACCGCCGGTGGGTATGGCACCCCGACCAGTTTCGACAGCCGCCACACTGTCCTCCTCAGGGGGATAACCACCAGTCCTTCTCCTTAATCATAATCCTGCGTTCCACCAACCCACCTCCACCATCATCCCGCTACCATCTCCAGAGACGGACGCGGGTTCCACGGTGTAGGACACGAAAAGACCGATAGCGTTTTAATCATTACAGATATAGGTTCCTATTTTTGGTAACCCGCGCCAGTAGCTTACAGAAGTAGCCTACTTGCGCAGGTTCTGTGTTCAAATCCTCGCAAACATACCTACACTTGAAACAGTAATAGCTTGTGCCGAAACAGGTCTTAAGTTCAAGCCTGTATCTACAAAAACAAGTCTATACGAAAAAAACAAGGCAAGTAAAATTCAAAACAAAACTACAGTTGGTCCTACTGGTCTTGAGTTCAAGCCTGTATCTACGCAAACCTAGTCCATACGAAAACCAAGCAAAGTAAAGGAAATTCCAAACAAACATAGTTGGAACCGGCCCTGAGTTCAAGCCTGTATCTACGCAAACCTAGTCCATACAAAAACCAAACAAAGTAAATCCAAACAAACACAGTAGGTCGTTCGTTTACCTATGGTACATTGCATGGTTCAAAGCATGCCCTGTCCACCCTTGTGCGCCTTACATTGCATGGGTGAGTGATAGTCTACTTTGATTTTGGTTAAGGTAGATTATCATTTACAGTGTAA